GAACTGGAACAGCTGTATTAAGAAAAGCCATATTGAATGGAAGAAAAAGAAATACAAAGGTCAAAAGCTAACCCAAATTCTACCATTACAAGAAAGCTAAGGTCTATTATTCTTGTTATGGCACAAAATGCACGACAACATTACTCTGCAAACTACAACATGCAGTCTATATACAGATAAATTAGCAGTAGAGTTCTATTACTCTCTCTCACAAACTGGGAATACAACTGTCTGAACAATGTAGTCCTTTGCATCCTTGAGGCATCACAATAGGATATAAATGCTATAGAATTATTTTTACTTTAAAAGCTTTAATATACACATTCTCCCTTGAGCACAAAGTTATTCACTATAATGGCATGATAGCCAATAAGAAAGTAATAGCTTTGTGCCTTTGTGCATACTAGTGAAGTGTCTGACCCCACATATTACAAGAAATGATTTGCGGCTAGCAATGTTTTGAGACAGTTTACTGGAAAAAAGATAACACTAGAGCAGGTTGCCTTGACAACACTGTGTAGCTGCACCAGAAGTTAAAAGAAAATGTAGGATCTTCTATGTTAAAGATTGAAAAGTATCCACCAAATTGGGTTACAAGGCAATGAATCCCACAGCAAGTCAATGCTACCTGACCTATGCAATATTAGCTATCACTTCTTATCATGAGCCTTATTAGAAAACTGATGAAAAAGCCAGATGGTTCATACTTCACAGCACAGGGCAATAAGAAGTGAACAGCAAGCATTACAATAACGAGCTCTCCAAGTTTCTCTTTATTTTCCTGAGAGACTCTGCAGGTTGCTTCTGGTTCTGGGAGTCTACTTTGGTAGGAGAAATGGTTTCCAAAGGCAACCACTTTTGATTTCATAGCAGGATTTCACAAAGATATCTCTTCAGGCTATATCCCTTTTGGCAGTGACCACTGTATTCATAAGTAAGGAATGTAAATATGAATTACACAGGTAGCACTGAGCCAAAAATAAATTAACACCCTTAATGTATTTTGCTGAACTTATCCTGCATGCTACCAGATTTAAAAAAAAAACCCCAAGATTTATCCACAAAGCATCCAGTTATGAATGAACTCCCCCAGACAGTCATATTTTTAAAGATTTATTCTTTTTCTAGGACTATGTTGAGCACAGAGAAGGGAGCTGAATCTGGCTCTCTCACACATTATCTAAGTGCTCTGACAACTGGATTTAAAGTGACAGATGACAACTGTTTTGTAAAAAATAGTCCCCTATGCAGTTTTGATTCCAATAGGGAGAGCACAAACAGATGTGTTCCTGCTCCAAAGTGAAACAGTATGTCTACAAGAGAAATGGTACTTAGAGATCTAATTAAGACTTTTGTTTCATCTATCAAAGCTCCCAAAGCAGCATTCTGATTTTCTTCTGTTCCTTCCATAGGTGATTCAATTTATTATTTTTATTAAGGAGCCTGTGGAATTGCTGATTCCTCTGCTTTGCAGCTGGGCATTACCCACAAGCTGTTAGCTCAAGCTATACATCTTAACTGGATGCACAGCTCTTACTGTTCCGATGGTCTTGTTGCAAACAGAGTATCTTTAACCTACTACAGTAAAACTAAATACTTGCTTTTGATCCAATAGTATAATCAGCATTACACCAAACCTTTGAAATCTTTCCCAAACTGATTTAACCAGTTAATCACTAATCTGACCACAAAGGGGCACTGATATGCTTGAACTGAGTTTTGCTTTGCATGGAAATTTCAGTTAGTGTGTTCCAAAACTTCTCTCCAGAACCTAAATACCCTGCTCTGGAAAGTTCTGAACCACGTATCTCCAACTGGGCCTTAAAACTTTCGATCCTCTAAAGGAGTTAAAGCTGTCATAGACATTTTATCACTCTTATTACTATCTAATTATTTATAAAGTTAATGATACCAAGAGGAGACAGAGCATTCCTTACTTCTCTTGCGACAGCAGAAGTTCCACAGAGTTCAACTGTGTAAAACCCAAAGAGTTTTATCTGGGGCTGCTGTGTGAAACCTCGTATCACATTTTGAAGTGCTGTTTATCGGTATAAATACAAATACAGAATACAATAGGAGTAAACAGAAAATGTATCTACACATTCAAAATAAATAAGATTAAGTTTCCTTCATTATCAGTGTTTTAACACTGGTTTTGCTTCTGTTTAATTTAACAGAAACTTATCACTCTGTTCTAAAAGAACACTCCCAATGTTGAAAGGGATGAATTCATATACCCGTTCTTTCAGAAAGAAAATTAATTTTAACTGGTACATAATGCTTCCCTAAGCAAAAAACTAACTTGCTCTTCCTTAATGACCAAGAGTAACTGCATGGCTACGATGTGCAATATTGCTAATGCTTCACAAAACCAAGTTATTATCAAGGATTAAATAAAATCAGGAGAGAAAACAGACATCCAACACCACAGAATAATCTGCTGGGATAATGCATCGAAGTAACACATCTCATCAGATAGCAGGCATCTTAACTGGACAGCAAAATTTAAATATGAAAAGTATTTTGAAGTTTAGCGAGACCCTGTGGAGAAATCTCCATTTGAAAACATTCCTCCTGCATTTTTAACATCTTTTAATCTGACACTTTAATCCATTTCATACTCTCAGTATTTTCATTCAGTTCCTGTTTCTACTACACTTCAAACACCAAATTCAAAAGATATGAAATGCAGGTTGTTACTTTATGAGGATTACATCCTTTTTAAAGAAAAAGTGATTTTCTCAGGATAAAGCTATTACCTGAGAAAGCTCAGTAAGGAACTCTCACAGGCTTCTTGCCACTTTCTAACTCATAACAAATAAAGTCACTTCATAAATGAGAAATTTTGCATTATGGATTGCAAATGCTGAAAGGTAAAGCTATAAATGCAACTGTATTACTATAACCATAGATAGCCATAACAGAGACCATAAGAAATAAAACAGACACACTAAGCAATGCTTAATATTTAATTTCTAATTTTATATTCAGCCAAGTAATTAGACCTGCTCAAATATATGAAACACTTGCAATACCTGTTGATTAATGCTTAAAAGGATTACTTCAATGCAGAGACTCACTAAAATGATTAAACTAAGTTTTCTTTGTTGTCTGGTGCTTTCAGGGATACTGTAATTAAATAAGTGCATCATATTGGCACAAGCCTATTGATTTAGTAAAGGTATCTTGATTTATGCTAACAGCATGCTGCACATTATCATTTATGGGTGCTAACAGCTGTATGATATGATATTCAAACATTTTTGCTATGATATGTTTTTGCTATGAGACTTTGATAAAAAGCTGTTAGGAAACATTGAGGGTGCATGAAAGGCTGAGGCATGAATAAAAAATGTACCACTCAAATCAGTAGTTTGGTATATATTTAAATTCTGCTTTTGTGGTACTGCAAAAACAAAAGTATAGGTGCATGTAATTAAGTTCTGTAGTCTGTATTTTGCACTGCACAGGAAAGAACAAAACTTTAGAATCTCACATCACGAGTAGAGAGTAGAGATTAAAATGAAAACTGGTTGAGAGATATGGCTCTCTCACTTCTACAATGTCATTTCAATGCAGGTCTAATGGCCATGGAAATGACATCTTCTGGAGCAGGCCCAAAACTTATGCTGTAGGGAAAATAGTTTCCTTCTTTTTTTTTTTTTTTTTTTTAATAAAATAAGTTTTGTATGGAATTGAATATGTACTCTTCTACAGGAACTAAATCTGAGGTCATTTGTTTAGAAAACACTGAAATAAAACCTGTTTTCAGAAAAAATCCACAAAAGACATATGACAGGCAGGGGATTTTATACAGTTATCTCTTTCCTGTCAAATTAGTTAAAATTTATCGGCAATTACTAAACCCTAAGTCAATATAATTAAGTCCTCAGTCATCCTTTTTTTATTTACGTCTGTTTCAATTTTCAGTCTCCCTGGAAAGATATACTTGGCACTTGAGAACTGTGTCCTTTCCTATCACAAGCTTTGCTTGTCAAATCAATCCTAATTCTCTCTTCAAAAGTGGTTTATCATCAGGAACTGACTAGAAAGTTTTTCTGAATGGGAAATGAGAAGGAATTCTATTTGCTGTCCTTTCTCTGAACTGCTGCTACCTGCGTGAGGCTGACAAAATCAAAATGCCTTTTGCCATCAAAACATTAGTATGTAGCCATATACTAGCTATAAGCTAATAGTTTCAACATGTTTTTCAAGGTCTCTCACATTGAAATTTATTCGAAATCAAAACTTGCCCTGTTCTAGATTGACTCAAACTTCAAAGATAAGACAAAACAAAAAAATTATGAGAACATTTTTAAAGAAAAATTAAAGGAGAAATAATTCACTCCAAAGAAAATAAACCCCACATTTGTTTAACAAACTCCTTACCATCCCTATACTGACAACCTGTGTACCATTATATTGATTTACCCTGGAAAACTGATGAGCACAGATAATGTACATTTGACTTTCAGGATGTAAGGTCACCCTGTAGTTTATATTCTATCAACCCTTAATATACGAGTGATTAATTTGCCCACAAGTGTAACAGTTAGAACAGATGCAGCTAAATTGACTAACGTGGTTACTTCATAATTGCTATCTCCACATTGGTATGTCAGTCTCAACTAGAAGTTATAGGCTCAATGTAAAAACTACTGAGTGAACTGTGTTATCCAGGAGCAAAACTTGATGAGAAAGATTCCTTTCTGACTTAAAAATAGGCTGATGAGCCAATATGAAAAAGCTGCAGATAAAAATTCTAAAATGTTATTTGTGCACTTACATTGCATGTGTTCTGAAAGAGTCTTCAGTCAAAATCCTCTGCTGCTGTATATCAACCAATTTAAATGTAGACATAAAATCACCGTGACTGAATTAAAAACAGCAAATGCAAAACCATTTTGGACAAGCGGATGTTTCTTTAATTGGGGCAGCGATTTGCACTGCCACTGTGGCTGTTTGACACTGAAGGATAATGAAATTCAAAAGCAACATACCTTCCGAAGAGGTTTGAGCTTGGTCTCCATTATAAAGTCGTACTTGCAGAGCTCACAACAGCGTGTGTCTGAGCTTTTAATCCATTGGTGCAGACAGGCCTGATGAACAAAGCGCAGGGTCCCTGTGCAGCGACACGGTGTGATGAGGGGACTTTCATCATCTCCCTCACAGTGACAGATCCTGACAGGAAGGACAGCAAGAGCTAGTGAGGGAACTTGCCAACCAGCCATGCAAATGTACTGGTTTATTTTCACTGCTTTTTCATTTTCAGATGACATTCATAAGACGCCAGGTATGTGACCTTTCAGATTGAGGCTCAGAGACGTATTCCTTATTCCCTTCTTCCACTTAGCAATTTCTCTTCACTTAGTAATTTCTGTTTGAATTTGCTATGTGGCCTGAAGATGAACTAATAGAAATAACAGCATTTTTCCCTTTTATGCATGGCAAAACCCTTAAGACAAATATCAGTGCTCTTTCTAAGAGCTGAATAGTTCTTGGCATGTAAGTAATGCCAATAAAAGCCTCAAAGTTAGGAGGATCTAACCCAAGCTGAAAATATCCAGTATAAAAAAAATTATAAATAAGAAGTTCCTAGGATACCTCTTTGGAATTACACAGTTAAAAGGATTAGAGAACAGTTTTGAGTACTCTGGAGTTGTGTGTATGGGACAGTGTATACACACATGAACACACTTTTTAGGGGGCAGGTGTTAAAAAGTCATGATCCTTCCTCTTTTTCATTCTTCACTGTCCCTTTGAAGCAGATAGCTGTGTTGCTTAGGAGGAAAAAAAACACCATACAGATGTAAGCAGACTCTATGATAGAGGTTGGTCCCAGAACTGTTGTTACCTTGCAATGGGATACAGAGCTTTTCACACTGTGATTTTGCATTAAATGATCAGTGTCCTAACATCAAAATGTGATGGTTTTCTTCTGTGACACATGTCCAAATATCTTTGGGATCCTTCCGCTTCCAAACAGACCCCTGATCACATCAGGAAAACATTCAGCCATCAAAACCAATGACAGATTTATTGGTAAGCATCTCCGTGAAGGCAGAGAAAGCTCTACAGTGAGCAGAAGGCTTAACCAAACACCTGAAGTTAAGGAAGTTCCCCTCAACAAAGAACAACTCCCTCCCATCCCCACCCCAGAAAAACACAAGCACCCAAGCACTAATGAGTTTCTGAAGTGTCAAATTGCCATGGGGAGGTTGAGAGGTGGGGGTGGGGAGAAATGTTTTTTCAAAACGGAGAAGTAGCAACCACAGCACAGATTGTGGTGTTACACAAATGAAACCTTGAGTTTAGAAACTCAGTACTTTGAAAAGGCACCCTTTTGATGTGTGTGTGCAGAAGAGGCTGAATACACCTGAGGAATAACATCCCTTTATGCAGAAAGCTGTTGCCACACCATCCCTGGGGTAGGAAAAAGGCTGAGGAGGCCCGTCTGGTGAGGTTGCCTTCCTACTGACCAGGTTAGGGAAGAAGGGCAACATTCTCCATATCACAGGAGCACCTAATGTATGTCACGAGGAGGTAACCTGGCGCAGACACCCTGTGAAAGATTGCCTACAGCATAGCACTGAGGCTGCCAAGTCTACAAGCAGGGGTAGGAGGACATTTCCGTTTAAGCAGATCTATGGATCAAAACCAGCAGCTTCACTATTCTTCCTTGGTGTAGCCTAGAGCAATGAGAAAATGAATCTACAATATTGGGAAAGCAAAACAAAGCTGCTTTCCTGAATAAAAAAGAAATAAATGAAGCTCTGGAAAGCTGTTACACAAAAGCCAGGTTTCAGTGTCTCTGGTGGTGCCGGCACAGCATCTTATATCCCATGGGAGAGGAGGGGAGAAGAAAATACACACAACTATCTTGCACACATTAATTTTTCGAGATACATTTTACAAGAACTTAGTTTGCAGTCATTTCTTTACTAACCCAGCCAAACAAGGTGCATTAAGGGCTTAGTTCCTTAGTGTAAACCGGCTGCATTCTGACTTCTTATTGAGCCTGTAGCTTATGCAGAACTAAAGTTTCAAAACACTGAATAGCTATTTTGCTAACAAATACATTCCCAGCTGAGAGTTACATAAACCCAATAATTTTCTTTTAAAATTAAAGCTATTTCCCAAAGGAAAACTATTATTCTTTGTTCCTTTAAATTCAAGCTATACATAATTTATTTTACAGGCTTAGCATTTAAACTATTTAGGAATTAGACAATTAATCTATGTACCCAAAAGTGTTTTTTCTACTATTGCCAGAATTGTTTAAAATTATTTTAAGAGCTAAAATTCAAACCTAAAATTCCATTGTGATCTTCAGATAAAGTGATACTGCAAATTTGAAATGAAGGATTCTTTTACAGAAAAACACTATATGCATTATACATTCTATTTGTGCTTTCATTGTACAGAAGTTACAAGGTAAACATATAAATAAGAGGGAGACATTAAGAGCTTACATTATACAGAAGCTCAAACTAAATAATCGAACGGCCTCTTCTATCTTTATTACCATGATGTATGTAATGAGAATAAAAACAAACTTCAATTGGAATTAAAGTTCAGAGAAAATAACCAAAGGCATGGTTTTCATTAGCTTGAATGCTCTTTGGTGCAACTTAGCTCTTCATTATCTGTTTAGCCAGAAGAAACTAGCTTAAAAGAGATTAGTGCTACATAAATTCACAATCACAGTCTTTAAGATACATGTATGCCTGACAGCTATTGAAACAGACCGTTGGCTAACTGCTCAAGCATCTTTTAAAGAATCGGGTGGGATAACTTGCAATATCTTGCTCAGCCGTTAGTATTGAATCAGAATTCTGTGTGTCTTTGTCCTTTGCTCTATTTATCCAACATGTACAACATAATTATCACAAATTATAGAAAATAAATTTTAAATAATGTTTTTGCAGAATATGTTGTGCAAACAGAACTGAAGTAGGGATACCAAGTATAGACTTAATGTATCTAAACCAAGTTAGAACTTCCATTCTGATTTCCTTTTTTCACACAATTAGAACTTGTCAAAATTTTCCCCCATCAGATTATTTACAGGGCTGAACTACTTTTCAGAGTAAAATTTGTTTACATGAGAAATGAGTTGAATGAAAAACCCCACTTGAAAAACTTTGCTAAATCTATACTGATTTATTTACAAGTTGTAGCCCAACACTGTCTATGGTTAATAGCTGCAGTTTCAGCTGCTCAAACACCTACAGAATGTACATACACAGCTTTTCTCAACTTTCTTGTCCTTTAGTAGATAAATGGCCTTCATTACAGAGCAATACTTACGGCTATCTGGAAATGGAGAGGAAGGATATCTGCTACTTGACCAAATCCTTTTAGTTCTAAGCCCTTTATCACAAATTGAGCCTGATTGATTAGATTTTTTTTTTTTGTAAGTTTGAGAGCTTAGTGCTTTCAAGATTCTTGCCTATGAACAGGACCTTGCTTTGCTAGGGGAAAAGATGAATACAAGGCTCCAAAGGAGTTTTTGCTCTGTTAATCATCACCAGACAACACAGCATATATGAACTATTAGATAATCTTCTGATTCAGACAGATATACAAAATTCTTTTCTGGTGTGTATAAAATATACACCTATATACACATCCTACGTGTTGAGATCACAGAATATATTTCTTTAAGGAAAGTTTGCTGTGAAATTTTATGAAATATTGCTGTAACAGTTCAGTCATTCTTTTTCCAAGTTTCTGCTTTACATGCCAGCATTTTAATTACCCAGCACATATATCTTTACCACTGAATTATTTTTACAACCTTCAGCACACAGATGTACAAAACAGAGAAATTTATACCAATACTGTGCATATATCAGCAAAAATCCATTAAAATTCTTTAAAGGATGTTCTTAAATAGCATGTTCACTTATGATGCAATAAATTAGCAAAAATCAAAAAATACTTTTCAGGAGAAATCAAAAATGCTAAACTGAAAAAATTAGTCTGTGAAATATTTTTGCATAATTCATGTGAGAATTGTTGCAGATTTCTTATATGTTCTCTACAGAAAAAATAATTCTCAAACAGAAACAGAATAGCTCAATTTAGATTTTTTTTTAGAGAGTGATTTATGTAAAAGTGAAAACTTAAAGTTTTCTGAGAACATTTTATAATTATTTTTCAGCATTTCTTTTTTGTTCAAAGTATTAACTGAATTTAAGACACATTCAAATGATGCTGAAAAACTCACTGATAATGCAATGCTTCATTGAGAAATTGAATGTGACATATTAAACTGTACCATAATGGGTATTCAAAATTAGTAAGTAAAGTTGCCAGTAGTTTAAGGTACCCTATCTCCTTCACTAAAGGGCATATTGACACCATACATATCTAAAAGACAGAAATTTCTTATTGGATTAAAATCATGAGACGCTGTTAAACCAAGCACTCAGAAATCAGGCATATTCAGAATGTGGTATTGTCATGCTGTCTTTAATTCCGTGACTGTGAACTGTTCTCCCTGGTCCTGTTCATTGCAAAAGTTAGCAGGAAGGAAAGTAGGAAACAAAAGGCTATAGCTTGTAGCAATTCATATGTTAATTTGATTTAGGCTGGTGTTCAGAAGAACAGCAAGAGCTATCCTGGATGACCGTCCTTCACTTCTTATGAAATTAAGGTTTTATAATTTTTTTCCATACAGACAAACGTTTCTTACAAAATCTCATTTTAACAGGTATGAAGCAAGGAGTTCACATGGAGAATTTTCACCTTTTCCTGACAGTGGTTCTGTTTGGCAAAACCATAGCAACAAAAATTACAATCTAGATGGTTAGCCATCATCTAAGCTTCTTATTACAAGAGATATGGGTAGATTTCAACAGGTTTGTAGCTTTTCTTCATATGCAAGGTAACAATTTTAGTTTCATTAAAGAGAATAGCTGCTTATCTCTAGCCTCATTGGAAAAACAGCAGTTATCCTAACCTGTCTTTCCCTAATCCACTTTACTCTTCCATAATTAAGAAAATGGGCCAATCTCTATGCTGCTGTAGTGAAGTAGAAAATCCGTTCACTCTGCAGGAGTCTTGTGTGCACTGTGAAAATTAGTGCTTGACCCCTACCCAGCTGGCAAGTGCTCCTTCCATGACAGTATCTGTACAGCTGATTTCCATAGATGACTACTGTCAAAGGAAGGTGA